TTTTGCCTAATTCCAGATCAGAGTAAAACCTAAATATGATTATATAAACTCAAAGCCTGTTTTCAAAGTCAACAGTCTCCAAAGCGAGGCAAGTGCACTCAAGGCCACATATGCAATGACCCATTAGGTAACAGGAGAAAATGTTAAAACTTCTATTATAATGACTTTTATCTTTTTTTTAAAAAAAGGGGGGAAATCACAAAAATTTACAAATTCGGCTTCTTTAAGCATTACTAATTTTCAGCACTGGCAGCCCCACTTGATCTGTATGTCAAGCAGGTCACTCCTTACAGCCTGTTTACAAGGTAACCTCGGGGCAGAGTAAAAGTTCCACAACCCAGAGGGGCTGAAGGAGGGACCTTCAGCATATTACAGTATACATCAGGTTACATAATTTTCAAGTTACAGTATCTAATTTTAACTAACTTACCCCTCCCAAAGTGAGCAAGTGGGTTAAACTGATTCCTACAAAGAAGCCTGAACTGAGAATAATAAGAGCATAGTACAAGCAAACAAGAAAAGGGCAGAGCTGACACTGCCATTCACAGCAGGTGCTCTTCATTAGTCACATGAGGTAAAAAACAAAGACAATCTAACCCAACCGAAAAAAAAGCCAGCCTCCCTCCAAAAAAATTCAGAATTATCAAAAGGGCTGATTTGAAGCAAATTGATATCTACTATCTTTAATTCAAAGTCTTACCACGCGTACATACTGACCTATTGATTAATGAATGTGATTTAGAAATATACTGTCAATTCTTACAATAACATGCCCCATGACAATATGAATTTGGTGAGTGGCTCCTGTCCCCACCCCTCATGTACATCAATCAGAGGGGAGTTGAACTTCTGGCGTCCTAGCCAACCACATGACACAGAATCATCCCCATCAATGCGTAAGTTAGAATGATCAATTGCCAACAAGTGACAGCAAACTGCAGGCAGGCCCTGGACGATGCTGACTGTGCGGCTGGAGCCCTGAGCTCCCAGGCTGCTTGCAGCGCAGGCTCCATCCACCATTCCATTAATCTCCCAATACAAGACATTTTACAAAAATGAAAATTTTGGATCCTACTTTTCACATTACGGTGGGGTTTTACTCTAGAGGTGCAAGCTCAAAATTGTTTTACTGAGAGGAATGCATGATCAGAAAAGCTCAGAGACCACAGCTCTAAGTGATCTCCTTTACTCTAGACATCGCCCCCTTCCAAAATTTTACCAGAAGAGCTACATAAGGTGAGAAAGGAGATGACCTGCTTTGGAGGAGGTAACTTTGACTGGAGACAGTCACATAAAGATGTTTAAGGAAAACAACCCATTCCCATCACAAAGACTAAAGCCAACTTTATGTCATGATACTAACTCCTTCTTAGAAATTACTCTCTAGCTATCAAAAAAATTTTAAGTATTCTCTAGTTGTTTCATTTTTACCATGCTAGAATATAAACTCCTTGAGAACAAGGCCAAAGTTACACATTTCATGCTGGCTGTATGATAGTGGCTAATCATCTACATACACTATCTTTGGCTTCAGTTCCAGTTCATTTGTAAAATGAAAGGAGCAGGTCAATATAGCTATCAAGTTCCTTCCAATTCTACGTTGTATGGTTCTAAGAGGAGCTATTACAATGCTCATTATTGCCACTGGTAGAGACTTCATAGCATAAACAAACATCCTTTATGGCAACGGAAGCTTAACTGCTACATAGCTGCCTACAACGTTAAGGTAACAGAATAGACTAAGCAAATTCTCATGACACCAGCAAACTCGTAAGAGTTTTCATTAATCATTCATTCATGGAAATGTAAAGAACACCTACTACGTACCAATCACTGTACCAGGTAATTAGGGATAAAAGATGAATAAGACACGATTCCTGCTACAATCCATTCATTCATTCATTAGATATTTACTGAATGCCTAGACACAGGCATATGGCAATGAACACAACAGACAAGATCCCAAAAAGGGAGGAAAGGGGGATAACAAGAAAGAAACATCAGCTAGATATGTATCTAGCTGAATACTCTCCTCCACAGGGGAAAAAAGTAGAACAAGATATCATGAAAATTATGTAAGAGAGATATGAATGCAACTGTGGTAATTTTTACAACAAAACCCCCAAATTCTTTGATACTTGTTCATCAAGAGGAGTGAGTCTATGTCCCTCCCTCTCAAATCTGAGCTCTCTGACTGCTTCACTAAGATAATACCGCAGAAGTGAGGCCACCAGTTTGCAGGCCCAGGCCTTAGAAACTGGCAGCTTCCTCTTTCTGTCTCTTGAGATGCTCACTCTTGGAACCCAACCACCATGCTGTGCAGAGGCCCAGGCCACATGGAGGTACTCCTGCTGAAAGTCAGCATCAACTGCCAGACATGTGCATGAAGACACCACCAGATGACACCAGTCCCAGCTATCGAGTCATCCCAGCTTACAAGTCTTTCTAGAAGAGGCTCCAGACATGGTGGAGCAGAAACAAACCATCTTGCTATGTCCTATCCAAATTCCTGACACACAGTCCAAGAGCATGACAATGGTTGGTTTACATCACTATGTTGTGGGGTGGTTTGTTACACAGCAATAGATAACTGGAACATATTTAAGATATAAGGGATCATATCTCTCACATAGAGATATCATGAATCAAATTATTTTTCTAAATACTGAATAAGTACTGTTGAAGTTACAGTGGATATTAATTTAAGAGAAAACCACGATCTAGAAAATCATACTCAAACTCTGATGAGGATCACTATCCTGCCAGGCTATCAAATAAAACAAAAAGAAACAGAGAGATCTGACAGATAGCCATTAAAATTTCTCACAACATTAACAGAAGTATCAGAGTTAAGTTTCCAAGTTCATTCACTGGATGATTATTTACAGAGTACCCACCAGTGCTAGGCACTGTTCTAGATACTAGGCAGACAGCAGTGAACATCACAGATAAAAATCACCATCCTAGCAGAACTCACATCCAGCAGAGGGAAGGAGACAACCAACAGGACAAAGAAGTTTGTTAAATGGTATTAAATGCCAAGGAGAAATATAAAGCAGGGAAGGAGGCTAGGGAATGTTGCTGGTAGTGGTGATGATGGGGAGGGTTTGCCACACTGAGGTGACATTTGTCAAGACCTTAAAGAGGTGGGGGAATAAGCCATGTGGGTGTATGAGGAAAGAGCATTCCAGACAGAGCGAATAGTAAGTACACAGGCCTTGAGGCCAGCATGGCTGGTGTTGATTGAGCAAGAAAGTAGTAAAAAATGCGGTCAGAGAGGCAATTGGGGGCCAGATGGTATGAGCAAATTCCGGCAAGAACCCATCAGCGCTCAAGTTGGAATCAGGAGAACTAAATTCACCCAGAGCAGGAAGGTTTTTGTCTGCTCTGGTCACTGATTTGTCTCCAGCACCTATGACAATAAGGAATGAAGTCCCGGCTCTGTCTCTTAGCAACTATTTGACTTTTAACAAACGACTCCAATTTTTTGAGCCTCAGCTCTAATCTCTAAACTGGAATAATAATCCCTCCCCACCTTACGAGGTCACAGTGATGATCAAGAATGGGGAAGTATTTTGCAAACTGTCTAGCACCATATATAGGGAAGATCTTTACATTATTATTGGAAAACTTAACAGCAATTATTACTAACAACAACAGTGATCTCTCTACTTTGCCCTATTAATTTCAATCGCTGAATCACTCTCCCTCTATCTGTCATGGAACTGGGGCAGAGCCATCTTCCCTACAGCAGGAGGAAGTGAACTTTAAGCACTTGAAGGTCTTTGTAAATGAGTGGCAGTAATTAAGATAAGATAATTACTCCTACCATTTTTTCCTTGAGACTCTGAGAAAAAAACCAAGACACAGTTTCCATGTGAAGATTCTACACCCTTTTATAAAATCCAGTCTGCCTGCAAACCATTTTTTTCTGTCAAAATGCAGGAACACCTAATAACACCTGATAACTTCCCCACATGTCTGAGAGCTGAAAGAAGGGAGGGAAAGGGGGGGCATGAGAAACACTCCCAAGATTGGAAAGGCTTTTTTATAGAGGCCAACTAATCCAATCATTTCCTACTGCCTGAATCTCACTAGGAACAGAAAATCTACCTAACTCCCCTCAGACTGGAGACAGCTTGTTTTCTCCTCTGTAAATGCGGATAATATCACCTTCTTAAGGATGCTTCAATTCTGGAATAAAAGCAATGCATATACAAAAGCATCTGGCATACGCTAAGCACTCACTAAATGTTGGCTGAATCTGGATAGTCTTCATTTATTCAACAAATATAAGGCGAACAGCGACACTATGCCAGTCTACTCTAGGCACTGGGAAAGGGCCATAAGCAAACGGACAAAATTCCTGTTCTCTTGGAGCTAACGTGTACCCCCTGTAACTCCCCGCACTGGCTCGTTCTGGTGTGGAACTACATCTGGCTCCAGGAAACACCTCCTCCAAACAATAGAGTCCTTCGGGATTCTGCAGATGGCTATCACGTACCTCCCTTTCCACCCGCTTTCTCCAGCCTAAACAGCCTCAATCCTTTCAAGGAGTAAGCAAGGATGTGGAACAAGACTAAAACAGGGCTGAGTGGGGGGGAGGCGGGTGCCCAGGCGCCCAGACAGAAATCAACAGAACCTCCCAGATTCCAGGCCAAGGTCAAGATGGGTTGGTCCAACTCAGGTGTGTCACCTGACACCTCTCCCGAGAACGGCCGCCCTCCTCTCCCGCGCCCGACGCGTCCCTGCCGAGCACCGGGGTGCCGGCCACGGGGGGCGCCCTGCCCGTGGATGGAGGTGGAGGGCCGGCAGGGCTGTCCTCGCCTTCCTTCCTGGTCGCCTCGGAGAGAACCCCAGCACCATTCTCGATGTTTCCAGTGTTCCCCTCCCAGGCCCCTCCGCCCGCGGAGGCCCCCCCGAGAGCCGCCTGACACCCACGCCCTGCCTCTCCCCGCAGCTCCGGGCCCCCAGGACGGCCAGCGCCCGGCCGCACTCACCTGCGAGTCCAGCCCCGGCCCCTCCATCTCCCCCGCGGCGGCGGCGAGGCTGCAAAGTGGCTGCCGCAGCCCTCTCGCCAGCCCGCCTGGAGCAGCTCCGCGCCCACTTCCTGCCTGCGGCCCCGCCTCCGCCGCGGCCCCCCTCGCGCCCTGCGCCGTCAATCGGCCTCAGGAGAGCCAATCCCTGCCCTCCCCTCGGCTGGGGGCGGGGCTTTCTCGCTCCAGGATGGCTAGTGGGGAACCGCGAGCCGGAGGCCCCGCCCCCGGCCCGCCCCCGCCGGACTCTTCCAGCCCCTGGTCAAGGATGTGCGCTGCTCGCCCAGGTGGGTGTGACCCTGTCCTTCATGTCAGACTGCCCCCGTACAGGTCTAGGTTCAGGCTGTTATTCCAGCGTCAATCACCATCTACTGAGAGCAAATCCGGACTTGGCTACTTAATAGCTAGATGACTTTGCAAAAGTCTCTTACTTTACCTCAGTTTCCTCATCTGTGAAAATGGGGGAAATAAGGGTACCTGCTTCACAGAATTGTCAGGATGATTAAATGAGAAAAAGCACGCAAAGCCCCTCAGCCAACGTTTTACATATAATAAGGAATCAACAAATGTTAACTATTAAAAACATTTGCCACTCCACCTCTGCGGTCTTGGGCAAGTCACTTCCACCATCTGGCCTCTGTTTCCTCACACACAACAGAAAATGGATGAGTTCCGCCGCTCAGGCAGAGGATGGTTGGGTAAGAGGCCCCACCTGCGCTCCCCGCGCTCTCTTGTGGCCCGCACAAGGGGCTGGCATCTTAGCTGGATTCAGCTTGAAGGATAGCTATGAAGAGTGAGGCTTGACTCTGCCCTTGGGGAGCTCCGGGGGGCCATGGGGCTCTCCTCCCTCAGCCCCCAGAAAACCCTGAAGCTTCTCTAGTGCAGCGCTTAATACAGTCTTTGTAATTATTCCTTAATGTATCTGTTGCCAAGCTGAACCAGGTTCAGACCTTTAGATGTTAAACTGGAGAACTGAAAGCATTATGACTCCCTTATTCTATAAAAATAATTCTAAATCATAAAATAACTGTCTAGAAATCCAACAAAGTGCTGGGTTTTTCCATGATGAATACTATAATACAATGTAATTGTAAAAATTTTTAATTTTTATTATTGTTATTATGATAATAATGCCCCTGCCTGTTAGGCACACCAGCCCTGTGTCGCCCCCAAAGCCCAACCCCTCTGAGGGTGGGACCATGTTGTACCCGTCTTTGAACTCCCAGTGCCCGGCACAGCACTGGGATGGGGAAAATGCTCAGTACAATTTTATTGAGTGGATGGGTGGATAGATAGATGTGTCATCAACTTCTATGATACAAGGAAGGACAAATTGAGTGACAAATCGAAGTGTGAGCAACTTCCTGCAAGAGCCAGAGGAGCGAGCTATGAATCTGAATGGGCTAGGATGAGACATTGGGCAAGGCTTCACAGAGGACAGAGCCCTTGTGTATGGTCATTTTGCTTAACTAATAAGATCTTTTTATTGATCACTTACTGTGTATTGGTATCTGTGACAGTGTTTTTGCATGTATTGTGTCTAATCCATCAGATGGGTGTTATTTTCCCTGTCTTCCAGAAGAAAAAACTGAGGTTCAGACTGGTTTCATAAACCCCAAGTCACTCAGCTGGTAAGTGGTTGAGAGAGAATTCAAACCCAGGTCTCTTACTGCAAAGTGCTTTGGCTGAAGTGGTTTGGTTGTTTCACTTTCAAGGACTGAATTAGAAGATGTTTTTGAACTTGAGGGAGGCTTGAAATCTGCTATTTCAATGCTTCTGCATTGATGTCGTAACACGTCCGAAGATTCTGGAACAAATAAATCCTAACACTCTATCTTTAGCAAGGCTCCTGCTCCCCTCTGCTCATTTGTTTTATGCCTCCACTGAGCTACTTCAGATTGGGATAAGAATATCCATAGCTAATGGCTACATGAAAAGAAACCCAGTGAGGCCTCGAAGTGCCATCATCACCTCTCATCTTTGGAAATGCCTTCGGCCTGTAGACATAGCACAGCGTGATGAGCATGATAGGTAGGAGCACGCTCCTGAAGCAGACTGCCTGGGCCTGAATCCCAGCTCCAGCACTGAGAAGCTGTATGCTCTTGGGCGAGTTGCTCAATCTCTGTGCTTCAGTTTCCTCATCTGTAAAAATGGACAATAATAGGACTTACTTCACAGGGCAGTGAAGAGAATTAAATGAGCTAGTGCATGTGAAGTACCACGAGAGTGCCTGGCACATGATAGGCACCTACATGGGTTAGCTGTCATCATCAGCGTCATCGTCCTCGTCAGGAGTGGGCGTTGGGGAGAGCACTGAGCGGACCAGCTGGGAGGCCTCATGTAAAGGGCTTAGGACAGAGATTCAGCAGACCCGGCTTCTGCTGAAGCCATCACTTGCCATCACTTACTGTGTGTATTAGTTTGCCAGGGCTGCCATAACAAAATACCACAGTCTGGGTGGCTTAAACAACAGAAATTTATTTTCTCACAATTCCAGAGGCTAGAAGTCCAAGATCACGATATCGGCAGAGTTGATTTCTCCTGAGGCCTCTCTCCTTGACTTGTAGATGGCCGTCTTCTCCCTGTGTCTTTACCTGGTCTTCCCTCCATGCACGTGTCTGTGTCCTAATCTCCTCTTCTTATAAGGACACTAGTCATCATGAATTAACATGACCTCATTTTAATTTATTTACCTCTTTTAAAGACCCTACTTTCAAATACAGTCACATTCTGAGTTACTAGGTGTTAGACTTCAACATATGAATTTGGGGGGGACAAAATTCAGCCCATAATTCTGTGTGACCCTGGACAAATCTACTTTCCATCTCTGTGACAGTCTCATCATCTTTAAAATGCGGCTGAGCACGGTGGCGGAAAGCACTAACCTCACTGGTCCCTGAGGCTTTGATCATGTAATCTCCTCCGCGGAGACTAAGCTCTACCTCTGCAGTCCCCATAGCGCTTTTTTGGTCTCTTTTAGATGTCACTGTTTCCCTCATTCTGCAAATATACGTTGAGTTCCTATTATGTTCCAAGCACCATTCAGCACTGGGGATTCAATATTGAGCGAGACAGAAGATCCATTCCCTGGCTTCCTGGGCGTCCTGTCCAGCAGCAGGAGACAGACGTGATCAAACCGGCTCACAACTACTGACCTCTTAGAGTCCGCCTTGCAGCCCTTGGGTAGATCCTCTTTCCTCTACGTGGCCATGGGCTCCCGGCACACGTCCATCTTTATGTCCCTCACCATGCTTTGCACAAGGTCTGGCATGTGGTGAAGCCTAATAAGAATTGCTGTCCAAACAAAGGAACAAATGAATGAATACAGCTAAGGTGATGGTTGACAAAAGGAAACCAAAGGCTGTTCAATCCCCTAAACCACTCTGAGAAGTGCTGACTTCACGATGTTTAACAATTCTTGGCTTTGAAAAAAACTTCCTCATTAGGGTTTGCTAATCCCCACTCTCACACCATGGGCAGCAACTGACTTCTGACTGAACTTTTGATTCTGGCTGCGTTTCCTCCACGGAAAGCTCGGGAGTGTTTTTTTGAAACAGGTTCTTGTGGTTGTAATTATTTCAACGTTGGCACCAAAATGACCCTTTGCAATGTCAACCCCACACATCTGTCAGCACAGAGCTTCTCCCAGACACAGGTTGGGAAACCCCAGCGCTCTCTAGTGCCCAGCCAGAAGGGCTGGGGGGGGGGGTGAGAGCTTGCAGAAGCACTTCGGGCAACAAAGGTTTATTGAACTCCTAGTGTGTGTCAGGTACAGGCTACATCATACGGGCATGGTGGTGGACAACCCAGTCTCTGCTCTTCTGAAGGTCAAGTCATTTGAGGAGGGTGAATACTGATAGAGATAGATAAATAGATAAAAAGAAGTAGAGATGATGATAAGTGCTAACCAGGAAAAGTGCCAAGAATATAAAACAGGGACGCACTTCAGCCTGGGGGGATCCGGTAGGGTAGGGGGTCCTTTTCGTAAATTCATAAAACTAGCTCAAAAGGACTTTTCCAACTTTCTCTACTTATAGATGGGGAAAGTGAGGCTCGGGGAGGGAAGTGACTTGTCCAAGATCACCCTGCAAGTTAGTGGTGAAGATAGGATTAGGGCCGCTCTTCTGACCTCCTCTATGGCCATCTCACCGGCCCTCAAGCTGCCTCAGCTTTCTAACCATAACCAGCCTCATTGATTCGCAGGGCCGGGGGGTTGTGGGACGGGGCAGGGATTGCTTAGAAGTCTTGCTCAATCTCTTGTATTCTATCTGTGAAAGCTTCAGAGTTAAAAAGTGAAAGTGTCTCTTTCCCTTTATTTTATATACAAATCATGAAGATCTGTTAATGAGATACTCTAAGAACAACAGTTAATATAAGCTGGGTTAGGAGACCATGGTGTACATCTTATATTTTACTTGCTAGATTAACCAGATTCATATGGCTGTGTGGGGGGGGGGGGGGGGGGGCAGATTTGCTTTCCTCTTTGCTCCCAAGTTGGGTGGGAGGGAGAGGTCCTAAGTCAGGGGCGGTGTGAGAGAGAGAGAGAGAGAAAGAAAGAGAGAAGGAAGGAGAGAGGGAGAAAGGGAGAGACGGTAAAGCAGAAAGTAGCCCTATTATTTTTTGCTGGTTACTATTTTGAGTCTTAGTCACCTGCTTGCAATCACACATTTAAATAACTAGTCTTAGGAAAATTTTCTGGATGTGTCCAAATTGTGACCGCGACACTCAAGATTGGATAATAAATCTACCTTGACTCTAGTATAGGTGTGGCAAGACTCCATTCTTACACATACCCATCTCCTTAGTCTCTGTGCTCCTAGAAGACACTTACATACCACTCCCTCGGAAAGGCCTTCCTGGACTCCTTGACCAAGTTAGGACCCCCTGTTAAGCGCCCCCATAGCACCTGTAATTCTTCTCACAGCACACACAGAACATTATTGAATTCACTTTTTGAGCATCTATCTTCTCTGCATACTATGGCCCCTTCTCAGACACAGATGCATTCCCAATGCATAGCACAGTACCTGGCCCATGGGAGTGACT